TCATCCTTTGTAATTTTATATGCTTTGAAATTTTAATTTGCAAAATCATCTCAAATACAGGTTTATTGTTTTTGTTGCCTGCTTTTTCCTCTCCTCACCTTTCTTCCCCTCCATTCCCATAGCTCGGCAGATATCCGCCTCCGCAAACTCAGTTCAAAACCAGGTGCCTCTCATCCTGCCAAGATTTTACAGACCCCTTTTCCTACCCAGCTTGGCTTAGCCTTATTCTTGGTTTTGGAGTTGTCTCTGTACTTTCTTGTGACTCTGGCAGGCATCTCCAGACACTGGTCATGGTATTTTTAAATATCTTTTTTGGAGGGGAGGTGCTATATGAACCTCCTATTTTGAATGGAAAGACTGATTTCAATCCCCTACCTTGTATGGGTTGTTTTCGGTCCTTATTTCCATACCAGAATTTAATTTCCGGCTGACACATCTTGTTTCTGATCCTAGAGCACATAGGGCTTTTGACTTTAGCCATCACTCCCTGTTACATGTTTTGAAATCACAACTTCTTTGTCTGTCTTACTTTTATGTGGTTAGGTCTTTTGAAATTTTTTTAAAAATTGATTTTATCTGTCACTGCTATATGTATTTCAGTTGGAATGGAGGAGGAGAAGGGAATTTCCACATGAGCTTGTTCCATTATCCTGACCAGAAGTACTTAAATTATTACTTTAGAAATGTAACTTTGTGATGTTATAGAGGTTTACTGAAAGAAAAGAAAGATTAGTGTTAAGAGACCAGTCAGGATTACCTCATTATAATCACGGTAGAGAAGAGGAGATGATTTGACAGACTGAGTAGATGGCAGGGTTCTTTATAATGGCAAAAGAATAATAGGAGGAGCCTGTTGGACAGCAGGGTAGAAGTAGGCTCCTACTTGTTTTATAAAATTTTGAATATAGTGAGATTGAGAATATTTTTGTGACAGCCAGTTGAAGATAGTAAGCATTTGGAGGTGAAAGAAATAGAAGCTATTAATATATGCATATATCTTAGCATCACTGGTATATGGGTAGTTGTTGAAACTACAGACGGGAATAAAATTATTTATAGAGAATAATTAGAAAGTAAAAAAAGCCCTGATGGTAGTATTCAGGGGGGCTGTCGTCATTTATCAAGGCTAAGGAGAAGGAGGGGAACCAGCAAACCAGACTAAAAAGGAAGTGTCGTAGGGGAAGCAGAAAGACCAAAAGAGAAGATTGAAATAGATTCATGCAGTGGACTGCTTCCCAAAGGAGAGAGTTGTCGTTGGTGTCAGGGGCGGCAGAAAGTTAAATAAGAGGACTGAGTAGTATCCTTTGGAGTTGGCCTTTGAGGTAGAAGCCTGCTTATAGAGAGTTGGAGATGAAAGGAAGAAGAGAGGGAGGCCTGTAGTTGAGAAGCAATCAGAAGAGAAGTATTTGTATTTTGCCTTTGATTTTTGTTTTGCTTTTTAGATTGAGGAATACTGGGGTACAGAATCTTGTAGAATCTATTTCTAATTTTTAATTTTGTCGCACTTATTTGGTGTCTAATGTTCTTTTTCCATGAGTTAGTTTGATTTTTATAAGACTTTGCTGTTTTATTTTACTTTTCTATATAACTTAAACATAGTTTGTTAGTTTTTAAGATGATCCTAAATCATTTTTAAAGTTCAGTATCTGGAAGTAATAGTAATTATTCAATGGCCAACTAAGACGGTGTGAAAGGAACACTAGCAGTGTTATATATTTCTTCTTCATTTTATTCTTTATTCTTGTCCTATTCAGGGTAGACTTTTTTTTAATCCACAAACCCAGTAAGTCTTTCAGAGGCTAAATAGGCTTTGCCTGATGCTCAGCAGGTGCTTTAAGAAGGGTCTCATGTTACCTGGTAAATAATACAACCATTTATAAATGCTGTGAAGTTTTGCAGTTAATTAAGTAGTATTTTGTAATGCATCATCCAGATTTATTAATTTATTTTTTCAAATTGGCACGATTTGGCACTGTGACAATAATGCACTTAGCGTTCTAAAATTGGTAGTGTATCTCCTTAAACACTTATTTCCAAGGGCAGGGATAGCCATAGACATAGGTAGCAGCCTACAGGCTATGTTGATAAGGAGCCTCATGATTTCTGCTTAACTAAAAATAGTACTCCCACCACCTTGCTTACTTTTCTTAAACCTAAGCTAAAATTTTACTGTTAGTGTTTCTTGAAAGATAATAACACATCTTGTTTCAGTTGCTACTGATAAGAGATTTTAGGCCTATATTTTAAATAACCAAAATCATATAGCTAGTAGTGGAACTGGGGTTCAAACCTTGTCAATATAGCTCTGTCCTATTCTTAACAATTTGCTGTATTGTCTGTAGCTGTGTTAATTAGTTACTGGTAAAACTAGGAGCATGTTCCTTACCTTCTATCCCTTCAATTTCTCTCCTCTCTCTGGTCTTCTTTTCTAATGTCCTTCATTTTCTTCCTTCTCTTCATCCATTTGTAAAATAGAGAAAGATAGCCTATAAATAATCAGTTTTTTTAAAAAAATGAAAATAAAGTGCAGCAGTGCAATCAGTATTTAGCCCTGAGGAAGTTAATTCAAAGAGTAAAATATATATATATTTAAACTCAGAAATGAAAACCCAGTAAGATTGGCTTTATAACACACTCAAAATAAAGATAGAAACAGTCTTTATATGGAAAGATGGTTAAGGAGAAAAGGACAAACAGCCAGAGAAAAGTAACAGTGTGAGGAAGGAAATTTTAAAGACAAAAGAAGATATGGTTGAGCAGAGTATGTCATACTGTGACTGTCAAATATTTGAAAGTATAACCATTCATGAAGATTTTATAAATGCCTATTTTTCCTTAGAGTTGCAAAAAGAGAAAGGCCAAGAATACCACTTTAACATGCTTTAGAATTTTATTTAAAGTTAATGCTGAAGCTGGACACGATGGTTCAGGCCTATAATCCTAGCACTTTGGGAGGCTAAGGCAGGGAGATCGCTTGGGGCCATGAGTTCTAGACCAGCCTGAGCAACATGGCGAGACCCCATCTCTACCAAAAAAATAAATAAAAATAGAAAAATTAGCCAAGCATGGTGGCACACACCTATAGTCCCAGTTGCTCAGGAGGATTGCTTGAGCCCAGGAGTTTGAGGTTGTAGCGAGCTATAATGATGCCACTGCACTCTAGGCCAGACAACAGAGCAAGACCCTATCTCAAAAAAATAAATAAATAAAGTTAATGCTTTCAACATGGTTATCAGGAAGTATATGACTCTTTAGACCCTAAGATGAAAATATGTTTTTTAATTTTTTAGTGTGTTGTACATAGCAAGACCCATGGAACCACATTGTTAACATTCCATATTCTGTCACTGCTTATTATAATTATAGATTTATCTAAGTGGATTTCTTCCAAAGCACGATGCAGACCACTCTTTCACAAGTCTCTCAACCCCAGAAAGGAGTTTCATCTTTATAAACAGTCGACCAGTACATCATAAAGACATATTAAAGGTAATCTCTTTTAGAAAAAAGTATCACTTAGATCAGAAATTTAAAACTATCTTTATTTGTCAAATTGTAAAAAGGACTATTTCAAAGAATTTGCTCTAAAATAAGAAAAAGAAAAAGGGATACATGATCATTTATTAAGCATTGTGCTAGGTATTTTACATATGCTGTCTCATTTACTCTTCACAACAATTCTTTGAAGCATTACCATCCCCGTTTATATTGAGGAAACAATTCTTAGGCCACGTAGCCAGGAAGAGTTTTGAATTGAACCTCAGGCCTTTAGAACTTCAGTGACACTATGATTTTTAATCATGAAGCCAGTTGCACCGGATATTTATACTTCTTATGAATAGGTTATGAATACTTCTTATGAATACTTCTTCATTTAGGTTCAAGACCTGCAAATGAGCATTACCATTTAGATATTGCCTTTCCTAATAAGCAGTTACATCTACTCGGTAGCTCAGTTGAATCTGCTTTTTGGTGGTCTTTTAAGGTTGGCAATACTATCTTTATTTACATATATTATTTTTATCTTTTGTTTATTACATTTAATTCTAGTTAATCCGACATTATTACAATCTGAAGTGCCTAAAGGAATCTACTCGTTTGTATCCCATTTTCTTTCTGAAAATTGATGTTCCTACAGCTGACGTGGATATAAATTTAACACCAGATAAAAGTCAAGTATTATTACAGAATAAGGTAATCATTTTCAGATGATTTTTTGTATTAACTTATGCTATTTATAAGCATGCATTCCTGTTTTCATACAAAAAAGATTTGCTTTATATTTTTCTTTTTTTATTATT